CCCCCCCCCCCCCCCCCCCCCCCCCCCCCCCCCCCCCCCCCCCCCCCCCCCCCCCCCCCCCCCCCCCCCCCCCCCCCCCCCCCCCCCCCCAACTATAATATGTGGGCACATGCGACACGCATAGATCTGTATCGACCTTGCAACTATACGGACCACACTGCTCTACAGCTTCTCTCCGGGTTGTTCAAAGAACTGGAACGGGGTTTTCCATCTGGTGCAGTGCTGAGATTGCTTGCGATATGTCATGCGAGCTTGCCATTGAACTTTGGACCTTCGGACAACGCATGGGATGGGTATGTTATCGGGTATCAGGGGAATGGCTACACTGTCTTACCAAACCTGATGTTCAACATGAAGGTTGATCCAAGTGCCATTGGCTTCAGATGCGAGAACCTAGTATTCGCAAACTTGCCTGCGCATATCGTAGACGGTAGTGTCGAGACTACACAGTCTGACGATTGGGCAAGTTATGCCACAGGCACAGGCGAGGGAAATGACCAGTCTATAGTACCCAGTCAGTCTAGTTTCGTAAGCGAGCCACGCCAACAGCCTCCGGACGTTCCACTTTACATCAACTTCGAGAGAGCAAGACCAGACTATGCCCCAATGCAAAGACAGATCGCGCTTGTTGGGAGAGTTCATGGAGAGTCGATAGGTGTTTCCGGAATCTATGACATCATGGTAGTGGTGGTTCAAAGCCTTAGCAAAGCGGAGTCTCCCTGCCCTGGGCATCCTTCACGAGCTAAAGCTTTGATCATCAAAGCTTCTACCTGGATGTCCAAGAGGCACAAACGTCCCATGGATGGTACCAACCAGTATCATACGTATTTACCCACCGGGGGCGACCAGGCATGGGCGGTGTTTCTTGCGGGTCAAGTCATGGGTATCGATGGACGGGTTTCTCTCGGATGTTACGATTGCACCCTGGAGGCAGACAAGCGCCATCCTACTACACCGGACTTCAGTCTAGAATCAGAGGATGAATACCCAAGGGTTGTTATCGGTCTCTGATCTATTGACGGAGTAAGATCTGCAGATAATTGAAAGGGATGGTGTTCCTACATATGTACAAGTAGGGCGACTGTAGATCCCAATGATTTTAAATTTAATGAATTAGCCAAATCTGAGAACTCGCCTCCACTAGCGTTCATCGAGGGTATGAAAACAAGGGATATAGAAACCGCTTCAGCTCGATGTATGCGGGGCCGAAGCTCAGATGTGAGTGGTGACTGCTTGAAAGAGGAATGGTGCCAGCGCCTTAGTACCTCATCCAGTCGACGAATACCGAGTCTTTACACCTTTTCGCTTCCTGACGAACTTCAAATAGAAATTATCGAGATTAAAATGAGATGATCGATCAAGACGGCAACGTTAAGATGATCAAGATCATAATGTGTACCTCATCCAGTTTGTCTTTCCTTCTTTGCTGTCTTCGCTTGCGTTAACTTCATTTACTTCCTTCCCCACAGACTGCAACTCTTCCGCAGTATCCTCTATCTGCATCGTAAAACATATCCCCATTCTCCCGTCAAGCAGGCTTCTTGACATCAACCTTGTCAAACTGCGTCGACGAGAACAACACCCGTGTAGAAGTCTTATGTCTCAATCCATTAACATCACCCTCTTTTGCAACCTGGTCCTCTTTACTCTTCCTCCCCTTCTTCTTCCCGGCCCTATTCCTCTTGTCCAACGGCGAATGGCACACGATCTGACTCGTCGGTCGATGAAGCGCAGCTTCGGAGTTCGAATGGGTCGAAGAATTATATCGCGGTTTTGGTAGTTGCATCGAAACTAGGTTCTCGTCCGATTGAGTTTGTTTTGGGGGTCGGATTGGCTGTGAAGATGGTTTCGTAGGGTTGAGGCTGGACTTCCACTTCTTTAGTGTTGTGCTGAAGAGCATTTTGCGCGTTCGTTCGACGCGGTCGTCGTCGCCGCGTATCGTGGGATGCAGGCGCGTCTCTCGCGCCCACGGTGTTGGAAGGTCTAGCGAAGGTGCGGTGCAGAGTAGGAAGCAGCGATTCGAGCGAAACGATCGAAAAGGACATTGAGCGACATCATATCATAACATATGCACTGATATAACGGTGATTTTCGCCGTGACTACGAATGCGTTGCTTCCCTAGCTAAAAGCGGCAATCTCCTTACGTGACGCGACGTGTGACGAGCGATGGATGCAAACCGCGCCGCATAAGAGTCGTTCTTGCATACCCGGTAGCTCTTCGGCAAATTCCACGAGGCCATAGCCAGGTTCCTGGAACTCGCTGTAAACTCTATCTCTCGTACAAGGAACTTCCCATCGCATGTTACAGGACTTGGGGTGAGAAGAGGTAGAGTTTGGTGCTGCCCGTTAGTTCTACGGACCAATCCACATGTTCGCAGCGGGATTGCGGCACAATAGCGGAACAACGCCCGTCGGCCCCGACCGTACCTTCTCAAGTTGGTTGTGCAATTTCATGAGTGGTTCCTTCGAATTTGTGCTCAAAGCATGTGGCTTGCAGTCTGTGGCATGAATCTTGGGGGGATGCGGCACGGCTGCGTTCGAACAGGGGTGCGTCGGTACCCGACGTAATGCACAAGAAGGAGCGAAATTGCATCCGAGAGGATGCTGCGTGCCTAGACTACAGGGTAATTTATCTTGTATGTAGTCAGCATGACGATGGAACGCGTTACAGACAGAGGCTGAGTAAGCTCTATGTGAAGGGCGTTTAGAGGCTGGCTGAGCGATACGACGACGTTGTTGTTCCCCAAGGGCCGCACCGCAATAATCTGTGAACTAAGGCCGAGCCAAGCTCAGACGCAATGGCGGTGTTGTTATCGACGCGTACTAGCTACTATGGGAACACTACGAAGTCGATAGTTTCGCACACGCATACAGATAGGCCGATCTCCCAATGGTGCGTATCGCAAACTCTCCGTATGCACACCTGAAACATTGGCTAAAGATCTGAACGGCGTCTTCCATCAATTATGGACCTGGGCTTATCGTACAGGCTCCACCACCGCAATATCTGGGGATGTTCGTGAAACCAAGAGCGCTTCTTAGCTGATCAATCGCATCGTGACCTCGACCGTAGCAAATGTGCCTGCCGAGACTGGCATAGCCCTGAGCAAAGTCGGTCCAATACCCCTCCAAAAGCCACCCAAGCCCTCGCCCTTGTACGTCTTCGCGAAGCAATCCCTCATACTCTTGTACTTCTGATCCTTGCCAAACGCATCACTCTGCATCTTGCTCTTGATTACCTAAAAGGTGGGTGTACGAGGTCAGTATATGTCTCACGTGCACTTCGTACATGGGGAATTTTGAACGTACATCGAAGGGATATGAACTGATCCACAGCACTTCACCCGCAAGTCCACCATATGCCGCGACCTTTAGAGTAGAGATCTCCTTCCGGTCAATTCCGTTGCGTGCAGCGTCCGCGTTCATCATGTACTCAAAGGCGGTGAACCAACAGCCGTAAGCTTGTGCTTCGCGCATGAATGTGACAGCTGTGCCACGGTAGACACCGCCAAGTACGCCTTGGTGTGCCGAGAGTTTGCGCACGCAGTCGATCGGGCCGGCATAGAGACGATTTGGACCGTGGGGTTGTGTTTGCAGTCTTATACGGATGTGCTCGATGGGGCTGGATAGAACGGTATTGGCGATACCGGCGAATGCACCGGCGGCATAGTATTGCGAGTATGACAATTGACCTTTTCCAGTCTTGGCTTCGTTACTGGCTTCGAAGGCACGTCGCGCATAGTGGAAGCCGCCGAATTGGATTGATACACAAGCTCCGATTCCGATGAGTGGTGTCAGTGTGCCCTTGTAGAAGGCGAGGGCTCCTTCGTTTTGGTAGATCTTGGTCGCTGCGTCCAGGGCACCAGAGTATTGTGATGTTGTTTGTAATCTCACCTTGACAATGTCTGTCGAAGTGCGAAGTCAGCATATGTCTCACACGCAGTTCGTAGAGATTTTACCAAAAGGCTGTCCTATTAAGACTTGCGCAACTCCTCCCACTGCACCTGCGAAGAGGTCTTTGAGTGTTCGAGAAAGACCATCCTGAACTGGAAGCTCTTCCTCAATATGAGGTTTCGACATGTTGCTCCTGCTCTTTCTGTGTTGCCGATATCTCTTCTTGCTCGCTGCTCTCTTATCTCCGTCAACACGGACCCTTTAGAGGGGTAGTTACGACGTCACCGGTCTTGAACGCACTGTTTGCGCTCCTTGCCTAAGTGTCGACAGGTGCAGGATGTCCCTGTAGCTTTTTGTTGGTATTAACAGTTTGATGCTATTGCGAGGGTTTTCAAAGTTGTCCAAGGGCTTTACAGGCCAATGGCGTGCTCGTGCACAGACGCGCTAGCGATGCCTTGGATAGCCGACGGGGTGGTTAGCCTCGAAGCGGTCATCGTTCGCACTACATCCTATAGGTACAGATCGCGATTACTGCTGACTGATACATATTATTGAGCCTTCTGATATAATCCGCGAAGCGTACCACGGAAAGCGTCCAGTCCATGTGCAACGTGCGCCAGCTAGTATGTGTTCTCATTCAAAACTTGATGTGAATTCTTTACAGTATGAAATCGACAGTGATGCAAGGAAATATACATACGCAAGATGTGAGACGCTGTAGAAAATGAACAAGAATCAGACAGCCGCCCGGTTTATCCCGTGGTTTCCCCATTCCCGCTAATCGACATATCCATGCCATGCGTATACAAATGCTTTGCGCCCGTAACATCGACGCATATATACAAGTCAAGGAAATAAACGGGAAAGCAAAGTGTGTATAAAACAAGCAGGTCGTGCTTCATGTCCCATACCACATCTCAGCGAGCCCGTGAACGAACGACAAGTCCCCAGGCTATTGGTAAACGCCTGAGACTTATGTGCAATGCGTAGCAACATAGGAATGCAACTACCAGCACTTCAGCCTCCTCCACCAACTCTTTTTGGGCTCGTCCTCATCATCCTTCTCATTATCCAGATACGCCGCCGAAGAGTTCGGGTCGCGGTTCGGATGCGATTGAAGGGGAAGAGCGGCAGTTCGGTTCGCAGGGCCGTCTCCGGCAGTGAGTCTCCGCGCTTCTACTACACGACGTACGAGCACTGTCCGTCTTGTTAGCCATGTCTCTGCCGTCATCTGCGCTGCAGGACTTACGCGCAAAAGTCTCCTCAATGTTGACCATCTCCCTCGCACTCGTCTCCATAAATCCGCACTTTCTCCGCCTCGCCCACTCGAGACCCGTCTTCGCTTCTACCTGTCTTTGGCCCTGTAAATCGCACTTGTTGCCTACCACGCACTTGATGGGCGGTATCTTGCCATTGTCTAACCGGTTCTCGGTCTCCATTTCTATCATCTCCATGAAGTAGTCGAGCGCGTCGAGCGAGTTGGCAGATGTTATATCGTAGACGAGGAGGAAAGCGTCGGATTGCAGGTTCGAGGCGGCCCAAAGACCGCGGTATTCTTCTTGGCCGGCCGTGTCCGTGAGCATGAGGTAGTAGGGGACGCCATCGACGGTTCGGGTTACGGAGTATGAGTCTTCTGGAGGGGTGTTAGTCGTGTGAGGCTACAAGTTGCGACGAATTCGCGCGCAGGGGGATGTACCTATTGTTGGGTCGTACTCAGATGTCCATTGGCTTCTCACGAGCCGCAGCGTAATCGAACTCTTTCCGCATCCACCATCACCGCACACTGTAATCGTGATTCTGTTGTTCTCGTCCATTGTGTCCTTCTCTTGCGCTTGATTCTGTGTCTGCGATTGTAATTCTTGTGACGTGTATGCGCTCCCGTTCAGGCGGTATTCGTGTCGTAACCGGATCCGTTTCGAGTCGTCAACTCTCGTGGGTGCGCTTGTCGCAAACCGTCCTTCCGAACCAAGCACTCCCTTTTCTCGTGTCCCGTGGTTCCACGCAAACGCAATCCTTCCAAGTTCCCGCGCAGATATGTATGGTCCTGCAATTCGCGTTCGGAATGTGTCGTCGGAATAGGTCACGACTTTGGCTGAGGTCCGACCAAAAGTAAACCCACGACAATAGAAACAAGAAAAGATATCGCGCGTAGGCTTCGCAAGTTCGCGTTATCGTCGCAGCGGTCCAGACAAACGAAGAACCAGGAAATGCAAAAGAACAAAAAGGCAGAGGCAGCGCAACGCAGGCGTTCCTCTCGTATGTGTAATACCGGAAAGCCAACCAACAAATTAATGAAGCGAACAGTGCCCCCAGCAGAACGGAACGGTCCCTAGTACTATCCAAAGCCGCACAGCGTTAGAAATGAATCAGGCATGAAGCTCAACCCAGCCTAGGACTAAGTGAAAAAAAGAAATGAAGGACGAAGATCGCTTCCAAAAGCCCAGCCCGTTACCTCTTTTGCGTGCAAGTATCCGGGGACCATGTCCCCCATCGGCTCTGCTGCGCGCGCAAAGTTTCGGTGCGAAAGAGGGCCACAGACCCTTGTACCCTTGCATCGCGCGCGCCGCTTCGACATGTCATGGCACGCACCAAGGAAAACCCACAGACATCAGAGCCCAGATAAGGCGCTGCCAGAACGCTCAGGCCGCAGGGGATCGAAGGATCCAAAGGATCAAGCCCGGAAGACGGCCCCACTTGTTTGATTGGGAGGCTGGAGCGGGCTTGGGGAGGGGGGAACGAGGGAGGCAGTCTGCCAGAGCCCAAGCCATGTGGGTAACAACGTGCGATGGACCAAAGTTTATTTGCCATGTTGAACTTTGAGCTTTCGTCATTGGAGCTCATGGCCACGGGTCTCGATGCCGAGGCACACGAAGTTTTTCCCACCTCCAACTACCGTTCTCGCAATACCCAACCCAACGACTCCTCACAAGATCTAGGTTAGGCTCAGAGAATACCCAACGAGTTACTCGGCATGGCGTTTTCCCTAGGCCCCCCAAATCTAGATGCTATCCATGGAACGTAATCTGCCATGTGTCCAAGAGACTTGGAACTAAACCCAGTGATGCCGGGGCTAACTGTCCGGGAACCTGCATGCTGCCCAGCTTCCTTCCTGCCAAACCCCCTGTTCGGTTGTGTTCCTCTTCCTGCTTCCGTGGAACACATGCAGCGTTCTAGCGCCACATCACGCGCATTCTAGGGCTACATCCAACACACCCTCCCCGACCTTGTCAATGTCCCACGCGCCTGTCGCAGGTTGTCAGACTCCAAGCGAGGACAAGGCCGACATCAGCGTCGTAGGTTGGACTTGGGATGCCCGTTGTCTTATCGTACTTCGTGTTCGCTGCCAACCTTGGAAGCCGCGCAGTTGCGGTGCGCCTCGTACAAACAAACAGCCGTGCAAACATGCTAGGATTACGCACCAGATATGGGCAAAAGGGCCTTGTTATCCTAGTTAGCGGTTGATGTTATGATCTGACTTGACGTATGACAAGTGAGGCCACTCGACGCCACAATTGCGGCGGGGATGGATGGTCGCGTCGCGTCACTTCGCTTCGACTCGAATCGTAGGCGAGCGAGCAAACAAGCGAATCGACGAGATGTGCGGGTGGGGGAGAGATGCGAAAGAATTAATGGGTCAAGGGCAACGTTGGGGTTCGCCATGACGCTTCAGCCAGGTCATGCAATCGCGTTCCACTATTCATTTTGACATGATCTGATCTGATGCGACATATATGATTGATTGATTGATGAGTGATACCGTCCGTACGCGTGCGCCCCACGCGATCCTGATAAGCCATCCCGTACCGTTGCCAAACGTCGTTGATATATACAACAGAATAAGAAGACACCTGATAAAGTGTGCCCAAGACATGTACATGCATATTGCGCCTCATCTCTCAGCCTCCAATTTGTGAAACCCGCAGTCGAATAGCTCGACCACACGCCAAACCTTCCCCACGTTGTTGACCCAAGTCGTAAAACATCAAACGGATATAGAAAGAAAAAGGATGTGAGTCTAAAAACTCCCCCATGAGAAGCTCGCTTCGAGCAAGCGAATGTGAAGTTCGTTAAAGTGAATATAAGTAATGGGGTATCGTTTGACCAAAGCGGAGAATGACACGAAACAGGAGAGAGAAACCGCGAAGAAGAAGTAAGAAGACGACGTTCAGATCCGTCGTGCTTATGATTCCGGCTCCGTCACTTCATCGATCGACGGTGGGGGAATGAAGCCCTGTGAAGCAGCAACTTCTATACGTGGCGCCTTTGCAGCATGCGACTCGCTGATGCTACCTTGTTGCGGCGAACGTTTGGTGGAAGTGGCCATTGGCGAAGGGATAGTAGACTGTTGTCCGCTCTCCGTCTTCGCATGAGGAAGAATAGTCTGATGACTTGAGTGG